AGCTTTGTTTTCCGCCCCCTCTCCTTTTTATTATATATTTTTATTTATGCTCTCTTTCCGCGTCGCTCCTATTATTGCATTAACTGAAGAGGGTGGCACTGTGGGGGTCCTTGTTCTTTTTTTGTTATTTGTTGTTCACCATGTTATATTATCTTTATATGAATTGGGTTCAGAGGATACCCTTCTTACTTTCCCGATATTATTATTTTTTATTATTATGCATGTCGCGTGTGCTGCCGCAAAGACGGAAAACAATATTTATTTATTTCAACCCTTTTCGCTTAGTGGGTTTCGGATTGGGGGTGACACTGACCCCCTTTAATACACCATAAATATACCCGCGATTTCCTTGAGAAGTCTTTAACTCCCCTCCGTTTTAGGTTCGGTTTTTGCAACCTTCGTCAAAAAAAAGTTTATTCTCAGGTCACGATTCCAACTATTCAAATTCGAACCATTATTACATAAATTTCATTACCCAATTTCGCCCACACTTAACTTTTCTCGCTTTTTCGACTTATTTTCTGTTAGTTTTGTTTTCTGTCAACTTTCTGATGGCGCATTTGTTGGTTTTATCAAGCTTTTGTTTGTTTCTATTTGATTTATTTTAAGTGTCAACCAAACGGAAACATGCAAAATATGACGCCTTTAATGTGCCACATTCAACTCAGTCTTTTCATCGCAATATTTTTCAAATCTACGATGAGTGTGGAAAAACAGCCTTTTATTCTGTCACCTAGATGATTTTAAATAATACGATTGCACAGGCTTAAAAACCGAATGCACATTCAACTAGTGTGGACAATATAAACGTTTAAAATACTTTTTGATGAGTTCATCGCAATGGAATTATTATTTATAGAAATATGTTTTAGCTGAGATAAAATCTAGTGTATATGTATTTATTGGGCAGCTTAGATGAAAATCACTTATTAAGAACTTGGGCCTTTAAACCCTTTTCAAATACAGGAAAAATAAAACATTAAAACGAATAATTACATTGTTATAAAATTAAGACACTATTTATAAAATACATTTTTATTACATTTAAAAAACTCAGAGACAAATTTTCAAAAGTAACAAGTGGGCGCGCGGAGGAAATTTGAATTCAACTGCAACCACTAGCTGTGCTCTTCTCACCTTCAGCAATGGCTTAAAATAATTCGAATTCAGCGACTTCAAAAATTCATAGCAACTGACAACTACACTAGACTACAAAGTGTGGGTAGGTTGTTCATAGCGTACACAGTTCATAAATGTTTCAATAAATAATGCTTTTATAACTAGTTAATATAAAACAGCAAATACAAATAATTTTTTTAAATTGTTTTTTTAAAAAAACAAAGTTTTAATTTAAATTAAATAGTTTTATGTTTTTGTAAGAGAACTGTTATAAAACCAAGAATAATATTATGCATTTTTTACCCTCGGAAATATTAACTATAAAATCTATTATTAAATGTTTCTAGAAATTTTTTAAGATTTATTGTTTAATATTTTTTATGATAGCATACATATGAACACCCCCCGAAAACGGGATGATTTGGTTTGACACAGAATTGACCAAAACAATGCAAGAAAAGTTGGCAATTAAATCACCTCAACTTTCTCGCTCTCCTTGCCTTTCCTGCCTGCTCGCGCTCCCTCGCTGGCTATTTTGCATGGCCAGCAGAGTTTTAGTGTCCACTCAGCTCGTCTGGCCAATGCCGATCGTCGATCGCCGATCCGATTTGCGCATATATCAATCGGGGGCGACCATGGCACCGCAGTCCATATGCTCGATGCGATGCCCACCGGCATCGAAGTCATAGGCAATACTGATCGTGGGCAGGCAGCGCAGGTAGCCGATTCTCTCGATTCTCCGTTCTCCATATTCGATTCTCGATGGGTTAAAAGGCCCTCTCCGGCCGGCCGGTCGAGTCAGTCTGCCCCTGGCCTGGCCCTTTGTCGGGACGCGTTTCTTAGAGCACCAGCAGCGCTGCAGCTGAGCAGGTGACAGGTGGTTACCCCCCGCTGCGATGAGAGAGAAGAGGGAGCGGCCGGGCCCGCTTCGATGGCTGCGACACCTGCTCGACGAGCTCCTGGTGCGAATCCTCAGCCTAAGCCTCTTCCGCGCCAAGTGCAAGATGCCTCCTCCTCCGCTGGACACCTTTTCCGGATTGGAAGTATCTCCAGTTGCCAAATATGTGCCCACTCCGAGGGTCAGGGGTCTTCCGATAGTCGGAACCCTTCTGGATCTTATAGCCGCCGGAGGAGCCACGCAGTAAATCCATAGAGTTGAACTTCTAAAAGTCGGAATACCAAAAAAAAAACTAGCTCATGAGCTAATTGTGTTGAAAAATGCTTAATTTGTTTATACCGGACGATTTCAATGTTAAACCATACAAGCAAAATTTGCAAATAATACAAAAGTGATTACATTTAGACTTTTAACTGCAATATAAAAAAAGTGCTTGAATCTACTTAATTCTAATACATGTGCTACATGAAGTAACGAAGATATTATTTTAAACCAAATTTTTAAAACTGCAATTACAATTTTATATTAACAGTGAATAAAAATCCAAAAATATAGATTTTTAAATTGCAAAAATAAAAGTAAAAATCGATATTCGGACGATACCAACCAATTCTTGTGATATTAGAATTTCATACAGTGAATTAAAAATCAAATAAAATATTTTAAAATTGCGATGTTAAAAGCAAAAAACCATATAAAATTTTGAACTATATCTCGATTTATAGAAGTTCGACATACAATATATTTAAATCCAAAAGACCCCTACTATAAATTTCAATCTGCGTAGCCTTCACAAGTACATCGATGCCAGGCACAAGCAGTACGGACCCATTTTCCGGGAGCGCCTTGGCGGAACTCAGGATGCAGTCTTCGTATCGTCGGCGAGTCTAATGCGCGGAGTCTTCCAGCACGAGGGTCAGTATCCGCAGCATCCGCTGCCGGATGCCTGGACGCTGTATAACCAGCAGCATGCCTGCCAACGGGGACTGTTCTTCATGTAAGTGGAGTGGACCCAATGAGTCCGTTGAATTGCAAATGAGGTGACTATGAAACCGATCTCCGTTCTCTGTTCTTTCCATTTCGATTTCTGTTTCGATTCCAATCGGGGATCTCAGGGAGGGCGCCGAGTGGCTGCACAACCGACGCATACTTAATCGGCTGCTGCTCAACGGCAATTTGAATTGGATGGACGTGCATATTGAGAGCTGTACCAGACGGATGGTGGAGCAGTGGAGGCTCCGCACGGCGGAGGCGGCGGCAATACCGCTAGCGGAGGGCGGTGGGATCCGGAGCTACGAACTGCCCCTGCTGGAGCAGCAGCTCTACCGATGGTCTATAGAAGGTGAGATGACGTGGACTGATAACCACTTCCATATAGGGTGTTCTGTTGATATATTTGCGGGATATAACTGATCCTAAATGAACCCCTATCTTCATAGTACTCTGCTGCATTATGTTTGGCAACAGCATCCTCACCTGCCCTAAGATCCAATCTGCTCTGGACCATTTCACCCAGATCGTGCACAAGGTATATATTATTTTATTATTACCAGGGACCGTAAATAATCGTTATTTGAGATTTTTATTTTAAAATTCGATTTGTATGGTGCCGAAAAAAGTGATAAATCGTATAGTGGGAACGTAATCTTTAAAGGATCGTCATTTAGACCATAAGTATGTTCGCCAATATGGCTTAGAATCCTTTAAAGATTACGTTCCCCATATACGATTTTTGGGGTCCCAAATCGACCCACCCTAATATCCATGTCAACAAATCTGAAAAGCAAATTAACTTTTATTTGTTCATGTCTATAAAGAGCATAAAACCCAGTTAAATTGTTAATTAAAACTGGTACAAATCTCAATAGACCGTTTAAAATAAAAATCTCAAATAACGATTAATTACGGTCCCTGATTATTACTAAAGGAAGAACAAATAATTGAAATGTATCGAAACAATAGGTATTCGAGCATAGCTCCCGGCTGATGACCTTCCCGCCCCGTTTGGCCCAGATTCTGCGCCTGCCCATCTGGCGCGACTTCGAGGCCAATGTGGATGAGGTGCTGCGCGAGGGAGCCGCCATAATCGATCACTGCATCGGGGTGCAGGAGGAGCACAGGTTGCCGCACGACGAGGCGCTCTACCATCGTCTGCAGGCGGCGGAGGTGCCAGGCGAGATGATTAAGCGGATATTCGTGGACTTGGTGATCGCAGCAGGTGATACGGTATGTATAACTACAATTTAAAGCACAAATGATACAGTAATTCAAGATGTTCCTTTTCCTAGACCGCCTTTAGCAGCCAGTGGGCTTTGTTTGCTCTTTCCCAGGAGCCCCTGCTTCAGAAACGCCTGGCCAGAGAGCAGGCCACCAATGATTCTCGGCTGCTGCATGGCCTGATCAAGGAGTCCCTGCGTCTTTATCCCGTAGCTCCCTTCATAGGTCGCTATTTGCCCCAGGATGCACAGCTGGGCGGGCACTTTATCGAAAAAGATGTGAGTTAAATAAGTAATCCAGACAGAAAACCTAATCTCATACCTATTCCCCTTACAGACCATGGTGCTGCTCTCCCTGTACACGGCAGGTCGAGATCCCTCACACTTCGAGCAGCCGGAACGGGTGGTGCCGGAGCGCTGGTGCATTGGAAAATCAGAGCAGGTGCATCAGTCACACGGCAGCCTGCCCTTCGCCATTGGCCAGCGGTCTTGCATTGGTCGTAGGGTGGCCCTCAAGCAGCTGCACTCCCTGCTGGGCCGGTGTGCCGCCCAGTTCGAGATGAGCTGCCTCAACGAGCGGCCCGTGGACAGCGTACTCCGCATGGTCACAGTGCCCGATCAGACATTGCGATTAGCCCTTCGGCCGCGAACCGAGTGATACAGTCATACACGCATTAACATAATCATAATACTAACAGTAATCGTAATTGTAATCGTAGTTTCTTTAGTTTTATACAAATATATAAATGTCACACAATCTAGTTTGGATATTTAAACTAGGAAAAGAGTGCCTGCAGCAAGGTGTAGACTAGCAGCACGGTGCCCAGAATTATTAGTCCTACGATGGGGGCACCCCACACCAGTTGCCCAAAGATAAGGGCACAACCGATGGTCATGAGAACGGGAATGGAACCCAAAGTCCGCAGGCAAACTCGAGGAGGAACCAACTGTTCGCATATGTCCACTTGGCCGGAGCTTTTGTCGAACCACTGCTCTGTCATTGGAGCGTAGAGGAGTTGCCGCGCCACCTTTCCGCAGTAATCATCACGGAGATAAAAAGCTTGTATCTGCCTGCCATACTGAAAAAAGTATTTCATACTATTAGAAGAATTCAAGGAAGCTACCTTTTAAACCTTACCCTTTTGTTAATCCTGTCCGAGACCAAGTGCAGCATTCTCACCAACGATCTGACTTCATTGGTCTGGATGGGCAGTGTCGCGGGATCAACGGTGGCATGCATGTTCGACGCATTGAGCGACATTTGGTGCGGATTCAGCTTTGAGGTGTCCAGGGAGTCGCTAGAGTCGAAGAAGCTGAAGTTCTGCACTGTGGTAGAGGCAGGCGGACAAGGTTCCACTGGCAGGTTTTCATGCATAGACAAGTTGGCTTGGTCCACCTGTTTATAAATTCAAAGATCTGATATTAACAAAGGTATTCAGCATTTTAATTAACAAACTTACATTAAAAGTTCGACAAAAAGCGTCGATGCATTGCCGTAAAACCTCTGGAATGCGACTGAACTCGCGCAGGGTCACTTCATCCTGGGTGCACTCGCCGAACAGCTTGTTGAAGAAGTTCTTGAGGAAACCCTCAGAGCGCTGTCTCTCGGCAATATCGTTTCGCAGCGAAGCAATGTCCCTGAGCACTGAATTCCGTGCCATGCTGATCAGGAAAAGGAAGCTTTCCATTTGCGTTTGCATGGAGTGACTAAACAGCTTCGTCGGGTTGGTGTTAACCACGTGGTTCCACTGCGATCCTGGCGAATAGGATTTGCTGTACAAAAAATAAGTTGTTTAATAAATTGAATAGTTCTGTTGACTTTATATTTGTCTACCCACTTCATCATGTTGACTTGTCGTTGGGGCGAATCAAATCCATAGGCGTTGCCTGCATGAAGACGCTCAAAACGCTGCAATCGCTCTACCAAATCGTGCTGGGCGAACATTGTGGCCAGGCGGTACAGCATAAAGGCGTTTCGATAGACGGTATAATCCAGGCGACCAAAGTGCGGCAGCAGTTGCATGAATATGTGAGTGTACATAATCAGATTGTCGATGATGAAGCCATCGAAGCAGGTCGAAATGGGCGGTCTGTAGGCAAGACTGGGACTGGTGGGGAAGGAAATCTATTAGAGGTCTCGAATCTTTTCTTTTAAAATGTAAATCTTACGTCTTGTTGTTCAGCGCCGCCATAGTATATCTCCAAGGCTGAATATAACTGAGCCAGAGCTCCAGCACCACCATCAGCGAACTGTCCAGAGGCCAGCGATCAATTAAACCACACAGAAAGGCATAGATCCTGGCCTTCACCATGCTCAGCGATATTTTACGTAAAGCGCACAGCGAACTGTGATCCTGCTGGGCGCCATTCGCAAAGAAGTGAACCTGCTTCACCAATGTGCGTACGCCGCGCACAAAATCGCTGCTGGGCAGGTGGTGCTCCGACTCGATGTCGTACCGCAGCCAGATGTCCACGAAGAAGTGCAGTACGCTCTCCGAACGCCAGGCGTAGGCTCTGTTTGCGCTGGCATTTGGGCTGTTACCCTGCGGCGAGGTGTTACCACTGCCACCGCTGGTATTTGGACTGCCTCCGCCGCCCGAAACATTCCCGCCATTGCGATAGGAGCTGGGAATCTTCAGATAACGCGGCTGCCTCTGCGGCTGCAATGCCTGGGCGGGCAGCGGCTGCGGGGCCTTGACGCCGCCGCTAAAGTGTACTGGCTCTATGCGGGCATCGGGCACTAAAGGCAGGAAGTTGTTGAGGTACTCGGAAACCAACTTCAAATAGATCGTCTTGCTGCGCACATTGTGAATCTGCATGGCGATGGGATTGATGGAGTGCAGCGGCTGCAGGGCGTACAGCACAAAGTGGATCACGTAGAAGTCGAAGGCGTTCAGCGAGAGGGTGGCTACTTGGTGCATCAGGGCGTCGATATTGATGAGCTCCGCATAGAAACGGGGATTCTGACCAGACTGCAGCATGCTAACAAACTTGGCCTGAAAAGGGGGATTTTTAGGGGGGATTTAGATGCACCTATGACCACCACTCACCGGCAGCAGGTTGATGTCCAGTTCAAATTTGCATTGATCCAAAAGGAGGCGATGACAGAGGTGCATCCACGGACCACAAACGCCGAAGAACTGGTTGAGCGTCTGAAAGTGCAGCGCATTATTCTCCAGCGTCGTCGTCCGCAGGCCCCAGCCCAGCGGATTGCCATTGATCCCGAATATCGAGTGCACTATGTGGGGGAATATCTCCTGGATTTGGCGCAGGGAGCAGCGATCGAACAGGATGCTCAGCTCGTGCACGCGATCGAGCAAAGGCAAACTGAGCACCGTCAACAGGCGGCTCTGAAATGAGGTCTCATTTAGGCCGAAATTACATTGGTTTAGTAAATACTACTCACGCTTAGGTTTTCCGGCGGCATGGTCTGGGACATGGCGGTTCCGTGTGTGCAACAGTTGTCCTAAATTACGAATAAATAACACTTTAATTCTTAATAACCGCAGCCGGCGTGCTGTAAACAAAACTTTACAAAACCTTTGCCGTGCTGCCAGACTGGCGAAAAACTGTTTCGTTACGCGGTGCTGCCAGATCGGTGAAGAAAACATTAGGGGCATTTGCAGTACAGTGTCCAAAATATGTATTAAAATGTATTAAACGAATTTTTTATAGAGCTTCATGCAAAAACCTCTTTAAAAAATTTAGATATGATCTGTTATTTATTTTTAGTTTGGTTTTGGAATAATTTACATTAGTTCCTTATAGAAATGGAAACAAAATGTGCTGCAGTGGACGTGGCCCATAATTTTCTTCAAGTGGATAGTGGTGTGAAAAGTTTATTGTGCAGGGAATAACCATGGTATTTTTAGCCGCTTTCACAACGGTACACAACACTTGCAACCGGCGGTTTTTGTTTTGCTGCAGATTTTTGTGTTTATTTTCATTATCTGCCGTTTTATAAACCATCCATGAAGCGAAGAAGTCAAACGCAGGCCCAACAGGCCACTCCGGCCGCCAAGAATGCCAAGGAAAAGGCAGGAGCGCTCACGGTGGCCCAGCTGAACTCGGATGTCATTTGGCAGGTGGGTGCTCCGCGGGACAGAAGTGCATGCATAAATGCGGATTATAATCTTAACTTAAAACTCATTTACAGCTGGCTTCGCAGTACTGGACGCCCGACACCAAGGCGGATCACCTGCCCTATAGCGCCAAAATCATCGAGCGCATCTACAACGAGGAAATCCGTGGAGGCGGTGGCCACAGTGCCCGGCGCATCAACATGCTGGAGTTCAGTCAGTATTTGGAGCAATATCTGTGGCCCCATTATCAGCGCGACACCGCCACCCATGCCCATCTCATGTCTATTGTCATAATGGCCAACGAGAAGTTCCGGGAGCGCGTGGAAGTTTGGACTGTGTTCGAAAAACTTCCGGATCAATATCCCGACTTCTTTCGCCACGTGCTGGAAAGCTGTTTGCCCGGCAAGAAGGCCAAGGAGGCCAGCAGCACGCTAAGGGAGCGAACTGCCCTGCTGATGTTCATCAACCACTGCTTCAACAGCATGGAGATCGAGCTGTGCCGTGAACAGGCCAAGCGACTGGTCTCCCTGTCCATGTGGCACTGCCTGCAGCCGCGTAAGTGCTCTTAAAACCTTTCTAAGATCTGAAAATATTAATTAAAATGCATTTCCCCTTAGGCCGCCGCGAGCAGGAGCTCCGGGATGTTCCCGAGTGGCGAAAGTACTGGAAACGCCTGCTTAAAAAGGAAAAGGACAGCAAGCCAGAGGTCCTCTGGGAAAGACACTTCATGCAGAACCTCATAATCGACTTCCTGCACATCCTCGAAAGCATTCCCGCCGAGGGCGAAGTGGCTACCAATGTGGTTCACTACTGCGAGCGGTTCCTCGAGTTCATCATCGATCTGGAGGCCCTACTCCCCACGCGTCGCTTCTTCAACACAGTTCTAGATGATTGCCATCTCATTGTGCGGGCTCTTCTGTCGCCTTTAGTTCGCCGCGAGGAGGGAAAACTGTTCGGTCAGGTGGGTGTCAGACTTCTCTTTTAATTACTATCTCGTACAGCATAAATTAGTTAGGTTTAAGTACAAATCTCAATGTTGGACATTGTTAAATCTATGAAAACACTTAGATTAGTGTGGACGGTGGCTCTTCTCAGTAATCGTTGCCGTTCATATAGTGCAGCTCATCGCCCCAGTCGTTCGCCGAGGGTGGCTCGTTGTAGCAACATGTCTTCTTCAGCAGGAAGGTCACATGTCGCTGGCGCAGCACGCAGATGTAGAGCAGAAGCGGCGACTGCAGGGCATTGACCACGATGTGGGCATACAGCAGGCCTTCCAGCTGCAGCCAGGACATGATGAGGAAGAGCCAGGCTATTGACATGACCAACAGCATCAGTGAGAACATGATGAAGCTGGAAGAAAAGATGTATTGGTATAGTTATTTGCTATACTGTGATGCAAATCCACTTACTTGGCTTTCAGCTTGTGCGCAATGCGACCATAAACCGTCCTTCGGTTGATCAGTTTCCTAGTGGTCACATAGAAGAATATGTTTACCAAAATCGTACAAGCAATGGGCGCAAAGAATATGCAGATGCCCAGCCAGCCGATCGTCTCCTGCTCTCCCACCATCTGCTCCCGTTTATAGGAGTCTGCGTCGAGGAAGAAATGCGCAAAGACGGCCAAAGCAGCCATCGTAGCCGTGCATCCCCAGGCATAAGCGGAATAGTAGCAGTACTTCCTGCCATCCGTGACCCGCAGAAAGACGTTTCTCGAACGAAAAGTCTTCCAGATGTAAAACCCAAAACTGTTTAGCCAAAAGAAGGCTGCCAGCAGGCTGAAGCACAGGATTATGTCCGCCACAATGAAGCTAACATGGCTGGTCAGCTCGGTGAAGATGCGCACCAGATCCGCCGCCTGGCTGACCATCAGGCACATGGCTATCGTGGTCACAATGTTGCCCACCAGATCTCTGCTAAATGGATGCAAAATTAACGCATGAGGGGGATCGAATTCGAAGCATTACTCACCTGAGTGTGGGCAGTATAAAGTAGATGATAGCAATGACCAGCAGGATAATAAGCGAGATGCCATGGAATATCGGGTTCAAGATCTTGCGGAGCAAAAAGTTGGAATCACTCCACTTGATCTCCTTGCGAGCCAAGCAGATCTTGGCGAAGAGAACATGCTGTTCGCCAGTACTCGAAGTGGCCTGTTAATGAAATTGTTATTTATGCAATTTAGTTTAGGTCTGGTTATCCTTACCCTATCGATGCAGTACAATCCCTTATCGTAGTCGTGATATAGTGGCTCCAGACTGCCGGCAACATCCTCCTCATAATCCGATTGTATTCCATGACGCTCCTCTTCCTCGTTTTCCGCATTTGTGTAATGCCTTAGCCTGCCATCGTCCAGTAGCACTAGCTTATCAGAGCTCTATGTAAATTAATAATACCTATATAAATATCTATATCTGAGTAAAAGACCCCAATCACTCACCCCAGTGTAGTGGTATATGGGCCACATCTGCATGGATCCGCAGTTGGGAATGCCAATGACGAACTTGAACTTAACGGGCCTGTTTTGCTCCCCTCCATAGCTGGTGAACATGGGCTGGAAGTAGTCTGCAAATGGAAAGCAATGATATATAGAGAGAACACAGACCGTGGAGAATCATTAAGGCACTTCAAGTTCTCGCCGCCTTTGTTGAATTTGTCGATCAGAGGAGGGAGCCTCCTCCTGTATAAATATTTACGTGATCGCTGCTGTGAATCTTCATCAGCTGTAATTTTTCACAGTTTTAGCAATTTGTGCAGATTGGTTCTCCTTCAATCATTGAAGTTTGTTCTAGTGAAGCCATTGATATGTTAATCATAGCAGGGAACACGGAAATTAGATTGCATTCGTTGATTTCGAGCTCTAAGCTTGGGAAAACTTAGATTGAAAATGTAATGAAATCAGTACAATTCATACAATTGACCGTCAATGATTCAGCTATTAGTTATTGTTTCATTTTTATGTGTCACTTAAATGGTTGATCCAAGGTCGTCAATGTTTAATTCAGTATTTCTAGTGTTGTTACTATGGGCCGTATTGTTTTATTTCTCACAATTGTTTGTTTGTTTGTCAAACATATACGAAAACTGTTTAAAGATCATCTGACTTCTATATTTAATTCTTGGTAAAGGGAATATAAACAAACATAAGCATTTATAGTACCTTGCTAATGGATTTTCCGCTCCATTTTGTGTTCAAAAGATGATATCCCCTATTTGGGAATCCCCCCATCAAGTGGCTACTTAAAAGTTAAAGCAGAAGCATGCCCCACAGCATAAATCATATTTCTCGTGAGGATTGGGGCCACTCTCTGTTTGTGTTTGAGAAGAAGAACTTGTTTGGGGGAGGGAGTAAGTGAATGGGGGCTCTGTAGCTGCTGGCTGCGTTCCACTGATCCACTGATAGCCAACAAATGGGCCATTTAATGTTGCACTATGTACATATGTTGCATGCCAGGAGGGAAAATCCATAAAGTTGAATGGCCAATGGTTGTTATGGTAACTTTTCCGACTGGCTAGGAGTTTTCCGCCTGACCAGCTGTTGGACTCACCCGTTTCGTTGACCTGCTGGCACTCGCTGTCCACGTGTATCTCGAACTTTTCGCAGCATTTGTTGACCATCACCAGGTGGGGATCGGCTGATGCTATCCCCGCTGGCGATCCCCCACTCGAGACATGACTGGCTGCGGGTAAGGGCTTGAAAATCAGGAGCAGCATGGAAATCAACAGAGCGGAGCAGCTGCATTTTTTTGCACTTAGCCCGGCTGCAAATTGCGCGCCAAGCGTTTTTACGAGCATCTTTTGCTTAGTAACACAGACACGGTCACAGATACAGATACAGATACACAGGTAAGCGTTTATGTGGATCTGCGCTTGCCAAGAAATGCGTCATCAAGGTGCCGGCTGTGAGCCAAGATCATGACTTGCATGCCAGAACCCAAGTAAGGCGACACTTTTCTGTATAAAAACACACCCACAAAGGCACTTCTGTCTGGTATTCCGGCTCACATTCGGTTAATAAACAATGCGCGCTTCACTTCCTCGTTAAACAAAATTCGAATCGAAATGGGAAGATACAACCGATTCGAAGCGACTACAAAAAGCGAAAGCGGTATCTTTGAGGGGTCCGACTATAAGATACCCGCTACTCAAAGATCCTCAAAGGATTAAACAACATTGATCAGTGATTTTTTTGTGTTGCCTGAACTTAATTTTTATCATTAGGAGTTACATTACTTTTTAATGCCAATCGATGAGGAATTTAGCCAAAATATGATGTTTTTGGTAAAAGTTGGAGTTTTACTTATTGTATCTTTGCTATAACTTACCTGAAAATTGTCTTGAATCAAAGGTACGTACTGTTTTAAACTGCTAAAAATCTTTAAATTTGATTTCAGAGACTTTTTTCTAAATAAGAAATAAAAAAAAAAAACTTATTTTAAATTTTTTTTTAAGGCAACCCTATTACGATTTTGTCCGAAAAATTATTCATAGATAAAATGTTTTTGTTTTTTTTACCTCAACCAAAATACTGTTTTTAGGGTGGAAAATCTAGCTTCTTGAATTTTCTTTGTCAATGTTCTTGTTTTAATATTCTTTATAGGATCGTATAATCTTCTCTATCCCAACTGCACACAATATACCCTGTTCCCATCGAGGGTATAAAAAGTTGAAGCAGGGCTTTGAATGCACTCCCTCCTTCTCTCTCTCTCTGGTTCCCTCTCCCCGCTCTCTTGTTTAAATTGAGCGACGGAAATTATCAATTGGAGCAAGTAGTCGGGACAAGTAAAGCAGGAACCGGCACCGTCTGCCTGTATGAGTATGCGAGGGCTTTGTTTGCTCCTCTAGTGGTCCCCCTCTCTTTTCCTCTTTTCCTCCTCCAGGATGTGACTAGATGATGCGTTGTGATAAGATGCAGCTGTGTGCAATCTCCCCCTCCCCAATGACGCGTGCCCTGTCATCACACTTGTCCTCTCGCACCTCCACAAATACACTCAAAAGAAGAGGGGGAAAATAAAGGAAGGACAGAAATCTTCTTTAAACATATTATTTTAGTCAAAAGATAGTCCACAAACACCCTTCAGCTAACCTTCACCACTGATTTGTATTGAACACACACGTTAGTACTGGGTTTCCAGGGAAAGTCGCCCATTTCTTCTCTAAGGACTTCCGCTTTTCGCTCACCTGGCTCAACTAATTAGCACTCGCTCTCTCGCACACATACTTATAGTTAGCCAGTGCAAGTGTATGAGTGGTCTTGCCCAAACTGATGACGTATCAACCTTTTGGGGCAGACCAACCGGCTTGGCTTACACAGAATGTGTGGCTTTGAATACCTGTAGTGCACTGGAAATCAAGAGAGAAAGAGAGAATCGCTTTATGTTTGCGTGAGTTTGTAGAATTCACGAGGGCAGGTTAGGTAGTAAAACAACAAAACACGTTCCATTCAATACACGCGTTTGGGGAATCAAACAGGAGCGGATCAGCGGCTAAGAGGGTTAATTGTAGTAATTATACCCGATACTCGTAGAGTAAAGGGGTATGAACGCTGAGATCTCGGAAACTACAATAGCTAGAAAGTTGGGATTATCCAAACATATTCTTGGGCTTTCTACGCAGCTCAAGTTTATTTCAGCCGAGGGCCACGCCCCTCTAACGCCCGCAATCGCCTTAAACCATTTTAAAAGGTGTCTGCCGCCCACACCTTTAAAGATTTCAGAAAAGTAAATTTTCATTTTTAGTGTGTTTATTTATACCTATCGAAATGTAGAAGAAATTTCTCAAATCGGACCATTCATTAAAAAGTTATGCGCGATCAAAGTTTTATATATCCATCTATATCTTTATAATCGGGCTTTAAGTAACTTAATTATATTTTATTTATATTGATTTTACAATTTATAACACTCAAACCTTCTATACTTATAGCTCCTGGACATGCTGAAGTTCTACACCCGCTTCGAGATCAACGATGTCACCGGCAGCTCGCTCACGGATCACGACATGACCCAGTTGCACTACAAGAAGATCACCTCGCTGCAGCGGGCGGTGTTCGCCAAGTTTCCCAGCCTGCGGGTCTTTGCTCTGTCCAATGTGGCCACCGTGGACAATCGGGAGTCGCTGGAGCAGCACTTTGGTGGACTGGATGGCAAGGGACTTCTTCAGATTGCCACTTTCTTGAATTTGGTTCCAGAGGAGGTGGCCGCACCCTTGGACTGGCATCGTGTGGACGAGCAGTTCCTGCGTGAGTTGCTGATTACGCGCCACGAGCGACGCTGCTCCCAGTTGGAGGCGCTCAATGAGATGCCCCTGTATCCCACCGAGCAGATCATCTGGGATGAGAACGTGGTGCCCTCGGAATATTATTCCGGTGAGAGCTGCCTGGCACTGCCCAAGCTTAACCTGCAGTTCCTCACACTGCACGACTATCTGCTGAGGAATTTCAACCTATTTCGATTGGAATCCACCTATGAGATCCGCCAGGATATTGAGGATGCCGTCAGCCGCATGTTGCCTTGGCAATCAGAAGATGGCGATGTTGTCTTCGGAGGCTGGGCAAGGATGGCTCTGCCCGTTGCCAGTTTCGCAGTGGTCGAGGTGGCCAAACCGCATCTGGGCGAAAAGAAACCTTCGAGAGTGCGTGCCGATGTGGGAGTAACACTTTCCGTGCGGCGGGAGATCAAGGCAGAGTGGGAAAACCTGCGAAAGCACGACGTCTGCTTCTTGATAACCGTGAAGCCAACGCAACCGTATGGCACTAAGTACAAGCACAGGGAGCCGTTTATTCCCCAGGTAGGTTTGGTCAGTGTGCGTGGCTGCGAGGTGGAGGGAATGCTGGATGCCAATGGAAGGGTGATAGAAGATGGACCGGAACCCAGGCCACAACTGCCAGGTGAGCAGCGTTGCTATCGCGTTTGGCTGGACTCGAATCAGTATCGCCAGGATATGGACGATCTGCAGGAGGTAGGTTTCTAGGTAATCCTCTTAAACCCTCTTTTAATCACTTTTTAATTTAGGGTGCCGACGATGTCTACGAGAGTTTCAACATCCTGATGCGCCGCAAGCCCAAGGAGAACAACTTCAAGGCTGTGCTGGAGACCATTCGCCACTTGATGAACACAGAATGCGTGGTTCCGCCCTGGCTGCACGACATCCTGCTGGGTTACGGTGACCCCGGGGCCGCTCACTACAGTAATATGTCCAATCAAGAGCGCAGTCTCGAGTTCAATGACACCTTCTTGGACTACAAGCATCTAGAGGCCAGTTTTCCCAACTATAATTTAAAGTGTGAGGCACCAGAGGAAAAGCGTCAACCGCCCTATCGACTAATATTCGAGGATGTACCGATCCACAAAGAAAGCGATGAGGAGGAGGGTGAAGAGAAGGTTGAGCAGGAACTAACCAAAACCATTGCAGTGCAGCCGTATAAATATGAGGCCAGGGGACCTTATCCCAGCGATAAACCTAAGCAGTGAGTAAAGAAATATTTTCTGGCTTATAATTTGATGATAAATTATAAATTTCCCCACCATTCCCTTTTAGAAACTCGATCCGTTTTACACCCACCCAAGTGGAAGCCATTCGTGCGGGAATGCAGCCGGGATTGACACTGGTGGTTGGTCCGCCTGGTACCGGTAAAACTGACGTGGCCGTTCAAATCATATCGAACATATATCACAACCACCCCAGCCAACGCACCCTGATTGTCACGCACTCCAATCAGGCGCTCAATCAATTGTTCGAAAAGATCATGGCCTTGGATATCGATGAGCGGCATCTGCTGCGTCTTGGTCACGGCGAGGAGGCTCTGGAGACGGAGAAGGACTATAGTCGCTATGGACGAGTCAACTATGTATTGGCCAAGCGTGTGGATCTGCTTGGCCAGGTTCAGAAGTTGCAAGAGTCGCTGGGTGTTAGTGGCGACAATGCTTACACCTGCGAGACTGCTGGCTACTTTTATCTGTACAATGTGATGGCGCGGTGGGAGAAGTTCCAGAGCCAAATGAATGTGCACAGGGAGGAGACGGATGTGGAGAAGTTGAGAGCCCTGTTTGAGAAGGAGTTTCCCTTTGGCAAGTTCTTTGCGGACGCTCCGCAGCCCTTGTTTAAGGGTGCGAACTATGAGGAGTTGATGGACGCCGCCTGCTCCAATTTCCGATACATCTCGGATATTTTCACCGAACTAGAGGAGTTCCGTGCTTTCGAATTGCTGCGCACAGGTCTGGATCGATCTAAATATTTGCTCGTCAAAGAGGCAAAGATCATCGCCATGACTTGTACACATGCGGCACTAAAACGCAAAGAGCTGGTTAATCTCGGTTTCCGATATGACAACATCCTTATGGAAGAATCGGCGCAGATCCTGGAGATCGAGACATTTATTCCGCTGCTACTACAGAATCCGCTGGATGGACTGAATCGCCTGAAACGCTGGATCATGATCGGGGATCATCACCAGCTGCCGCCGGTGATCAAAAACATGGCCTTCCAAAAGTACTCCAACATGGAACAGAGCTTGTTTACTAGGTTGGTGCGTCTTGGAGTGCCTACTGTAGATCTGGATGGACAGGGTCGTGCGCGAGCCAGCATTTGCTCGCTGTACAAGTGGCGCTACAAGAAGCTGGAGGACCTGCAGCACATCTTTGAGCGGGATGAGTACAAGAAGGCCAATGCGGGCTTTGCACACGACTATCAGCTCATCAATGTGGAGGACTTCAAGGGAGTGGGCGAAAGCGAACCCAATCCCTACTTCTATCAGGTGAGAAGTGATATCATAAAATAGTTCCCAATCTAATAAACTTTTTAAACACCTAGAATCTTGCCGAGGCGGAGTATATCGTTGCCGTCTACACGTACATGCGCTTGATGGGCTATCCCGCGGCCAAGATCTCTATACTGACCACTTACAACGGTCAGAAGCATCTCATCCGCGACGTGATCAACGCCCGCTGCGGCAACAATCCGCTCATCGGTTGGCCGCACAAGATCACCACCGTGGATAAGTACCAGGGCCAGCAGAACGACTACATTCTCATCTCTCTGGTGCGCACCAAGGCGGTGGGACATCTGCGGGATGTGCGGCGTCTGGTGGTGGCCATGAGTCGTGCGCGCCTTGGCCTTTATGTCTTTGGCAGGGTCTCCCTGTTTAAAAACTGTCTGGAACTTCAACAGACCTTCAAACTAGTGAGTCTAGTATTTAATTGTAATATTTTCCAAAACTAAAACTCCTATTTCTTGCAGCTCACACAGCGACCTCTGAAACTGAGTCTGGTGCCCGATGATAAGTACCCCACCGAACGTTTGGGCAGTGCTGATGTGGCCAGGGAAGCTGTTAAAATCATAGAAAACATGTCCGAAATGGCGCAGTTTGTCTACGAGCGGTACATGGCCAAAATGGAGGAACTCAAGGGCACCCTGCCCACCGAAGAGGAGCTGCAGGCCATGCGCAACCAGTTGCCCCAGGAAGACGACGATACTGTTCCAGAGGAAGCTACCGAAGAGCCACCGGAAAAACGTGTAGCTAAGGAAGCGCCAGTGTCTAAGAAAAAGACAACAGAAGCCTTCAAGCCCACGCCCATTCTCAACGAGATAAGCGAGGTGGAAATGGGAGAAAGGGAGCAGGTGGAAAAGGAAACCACCAAAGAGCCACCCCAGGAATCCACTCCTTCCGAGGAGTCCTAGTTAAGTTGCTCAAATAATTTAATTTCAATAAGTTCCAACAAAGTTTTAGTGACAAATGCACAACGCATAGACCACACCTCATAAATTTCAGTCTACTTTTTGGGTGCGGTTATGCCCTCCAGTTGAGCCTTCAGCTGGGCGTTGGTCTTCTTCAAGAATGTTATCTCCTCGGTGAACTTCTTCTCCTCGGAGGCCCTCAGTTCGGCATTGCGCCGCTCGGCCTGCTCCTGCTTAAGCTTCATGTCTGCGATGATCTCCTCGAGCGCCTCCTTGTCCAATTCCAGTGTCTTGACACGATCACGAAGCATTTCCTTTTCCTCATGTGCCTGCAAAGCTTTGCGCATGCCAAAGGCCACGGAGCTGCAGTAAAGTGTCTCGTAGGCCTCCATTGACATGGCAATCTCATCACGGATGCGTAGAAGCAGCAGGCCGCGTTCCGAGCAGTTTATGGTCACCTGGCGAATGATTTCGTCTGCGGGGGGGAGTCTTAGTCATAGCTGGAAAATAGGAAATTTACCCACTTACCAAAACACTGAGAGTAGAGCTCACGGCGCACGGGGCAGATGCCCGTTTCGCGGGCCTGGGTCTGCTGCAGCCTAGTGTCCAGCATTTCCTGCAAATTTATCACATCCTGGCGTGTTGCTGGCGTACTGGACACCGACTGCTGCCACAGCTGGCCATCCTCTTCCCAGCAGCGCGGCGGCAGAATCGAGTTAAGTATCTCCTCGGTTTCCCTTTTGGAATCTAGCAAAGCGCCCGCCGTTTGGGGCCTCTTCATCTCAATCTCCGTCAGCGGAGCGCCACCCTTCTTGTCCGGGTGCTTCACCACCAGCACCGGATTGTTGTAGCGCACCAGGGTCTGGAACTGACCCACGCTGGTTATATCTAGGTCCTCCATTTTGACGGTATTTGCTTCAATTTATAACCCAAAAAAATATATTTAATATAAACTTGTGTGTGCTCCAGGAATTCGACAGCTTCGTTCTACGATTTTTTTGATTGGAAAATCAGAAATGCCTGTGCTGGGAAAAATCCCCCAGGGTGCGAGTTTGTTATTCTCCCTGCACCGGCTAGCAACCCTCGAATCCTCGGCAACGCTTGAAAAAGTTGTTTATTTAAGTTCTTGGTGGCAAATATCAACAGGTGGAAAATTAAAAACCCCTAAGCTGCCGAATAATAAAACTTCAGGTTACTTATTTGTATAATATGTTTAATGTAAATGCAAACATAAATGAGTTTCTGGCTCTGTCCGTGAGGATTCGAACAGCGGTCAAAAGTAACTTAGTTCGTTGCACATTTCCAATTCTCTCCAACTTAAAATCTGAACTTATGAGTATGAGCAAGTTTGGCTAATTAAACTAGGATCTAGGCAACTAAATGTTAGCGACACAACTAAACGTAGTACGGAATTGGAAGAGCAAATAATTTAGTCTTTTTAGTGGTACAACTTAGGCTGCAGGCGCATTTTGAACGCCATTTAAAACTAATATCGCGGAAGTATTCGTGTGTGGACTGAATTGTGTAGATGCAGGATGCAGTTGTAGATGTACAATTAGTAACTCTTACATATTCATATCGTTTCATTACGGCTAGACATTGTCAATATATAATAGTACATATATATTATTGTCATTATTTATGCGGGAGAATTTCCTCTATGGGTTTTTGTAGTTCTGCTTCTGTTTCTGCTCCTGGCTGCTCTCTATCCTGGTTACTTGAGTTCTAGATATAACGCTGGCTTACCAGATACAACTACGCTATGTATATAAGTATTTATATGTGCTATGTACGTGTCTAGAATATTGGTTGGTGTAAACGCAACGGCGAACTCAAAGATGCAACAGAACAGATTCGATTCGGTTGAACTAAGCCCGGCTACTACACAGATACACAGCAACTACATAATTTACACATCTTTTTGGGCAGCAGCTCCCATCGAGGCTTAGATCAGCTCGGCCACGGCATCGTCTCCATCCCGGATGGGTGCCTGGAATGTGGATCCTGTGAACTCGTACAGCTAAAAGGGATACGAAACTTAGTATCATATTTATTCTTAATTTTTGTAGTCCCATTTTCTTACCGATGGCGCCCGATTGTTTCGCAACGTGGCATAGTCCGCAAACTCATTCATGTGCGGATCAACGCGGGCCAGTAGCAACCCGGCACCACCCACTCCACCGGCGCTGGCGCCACCACCGCTGCGCATCGAACCACCGCCGGCACCACCGCCGCCAGTGAGACGATTTTGATTATTACGCGGCTGAATGGTGGCATACGTGTTGTCCACCGTCTGGCCCACGTGATGGACCTGCTCCAGCGAGCTGCGATGGTCCATATGTCCCGGGGCCTCAGAGTTCGAGATGTGATCGGGCTCCGAGAAGACCTGCATGGTCAGTTCCTGCTCCTCATACAGTTTCAGTTTTCTAGAGGGGGAAAAAAAATAAACAGAAATCACAATCTATCCAATTCCCATTCCTATATTCTTTTCTTTGTGAAACGTATCGAAATTTTTTTTACGGCCTCAAAACGATACCTAATTTTTATGGATTTTTAAAAAAGTTTAAAAAAATCCATTTGACTGAAGCGAAGATATGGCGATGCTTTTTTTGTTTAATTAATTTATAACTTGAAATTACGTGTGGTAAAAAATAAATAAAAATACCCAAAAATTATTATTTTTGCCAAACTTTCAGATAAAAATATTTCCCATAATGGTTCCAGTGCAAAATATAAAATATATATAAACACTTACTGTTCTATCCACAGCGGATTTTCTGTAGTATTCAGGTCCTCGATGATTTGTTTCTTGATCAGGGCCTCCTTGCGACGCGTCTCCACGGGCACAGATAGATTCCAGTGCTTCAGGCAGCAGCACAAGACAATGAAACTAATGACGCCCACGAAAAGGACAATGACCAGGGCCACCAGTCCAGCCACAGCTAGATCAAACTCGTCCTGCACAATAGCTATGTAGGCGGGCACAACGTTCTCAATGGCAAAGCCGGCATAGTAATCCTAAACAAACAAAAATATTAGTTAAATTAAGATTTAACGATTATAGCCTAAAGAAACCACCTTGAGATAATCGTAGTTCCTGTCGATGTCCTTGAGAATCTCATCGACGGGCGCAATCTGTTGGGTCTGAGGATCCACAGCATGGAAGTACAGGTCACACCAGTCCATGCGGATGCGACCAATCGAGTCCAAATGAAAGCGTATCTCATCAACGATGATACGATGCTGAGTGGCATTGCGCAACTCGGCAATAATCTCCTCCTGCTCCTGGTAAACCTCCGCCGGCGGCCGCGAGAGGATTACACGCACCAGCTGGGTGCCATCAAAGACCCAGATCTGCAAGAAAGTAAATAGTAAATAATGGATATACAATTCTAATTTCCCACCAATTACATTAACTTTGGTGCTGGCTGATCGCTGGGGTTGCTCCAGTTCCCTGGCCACAATCTCCAGTTCGAAACGATCCTGATTATATTCGGCCATTATGGTGTTTGCCGAAATCCGGCCATCCTGCGAGATGGCAAAAGGACTGGGAACAATCGAACCTGTCGCCTTGGTGGCTCCAAACTTGTACAGATTGGAAGCGACGATCATGAACTCGATCTTAGCATTCTTTCCCTGATCTGCATCGGTGGCATTTACTAGTGTTATGGCTGCGCCCATCTTGGCATTGGCATTTACTCCGGCATAGTAGATGGGTTTCTCAAACACCGGCGGATTATCGTTCACATCCAGCACGGTGATGGCTACCTTGGCGACTGTATTATCCCGATTCAAGGTCTTGATCGAGAACGCTGCGCGTTCCTCTTCTGAGATATGCAGATCTGCTTTAATGCTGGCCAGGATGTACAGAGTGTACACATCCGTTTCCTCGCGATCCAGACTCTTGTTGGTGTAAATATCACCCGTCAGTTTGTCCACATAGAAGGCACCATCCTCATTGCCCAACAACATGTAGTAAAAGATGTCCCGGTTATGTTTGCTCCTCGAAGCCGCTTGAATATGTCCGATTTTCACATCCCGACCGCTATTCTCGTTGATTGATACTTTGTAGGGATTGGAGGCATCGGGAAACTCTGGACGGTTTTCGTTGGCATCCACAATACTAACGCTGAGAAGACGTAGTGATTCGAATGGAGGATTGCCTGCATCGCGGGCCACCAGTATAATATCGTAGCTAATGGAAGGTTTAGAAATTATAAAGATTTTTTTTCGTAAAATTAAAGTTTACTTACTTGGCTCGGTTCTTGCGATTCAGCTGCGTCCTGGCTCTCAATTCGCCTGTCATCTCATCGATCTTAAACTCCCCGGTCTGCTGCTCATTCCTATTGTTAACCTGCAGATGATAGCTAATCTTTCCATTCTCCTCCGTATCATTATCCATTGCCCTGACCGTGAGCAGCAAATAATCCGGCTGGACAATATCGCCGGGTATCTCAATGGTGGCATTCGACAGTGCGGGTATAACAAACTCGGGCTTGTGGCGATTAACCCTCAGCACTGTGATAATCGCTTTGGCCGTGCTCTCCATTGTGCCCGATCCCTGCGTATCCCGGGCTGAAATGGTCAGTTCGTAGACGCCATGTTTGCCGGACAAACTCTGCGCCGGATACACAATGCCCGACTGAGCATCCAGCTTGAAGAGGGCCATTTCGTTGCCAGCTGTGATGATGTAGCGCACATCGCCATACAGACCCTCATCCTGGTCGATGGCCTGCACTTGGAGCAAGGCAGCTGGTGGCTGATAGGCGGCATTCTCCGCCACCGTGGAGTTGTAGAGATCTCGCGTGAAAACTGGGGCATTATCATTAACGTCCAGAATGTTGATGTGGATCTATAGATTTAAAATAAATAATTAAAATATAAATTAAATAGTTAGCAATGTATTTTACTCACCGTTGCTGTCGCAGACTTTTGGACTGCTGCCGGTGCCTTATCCTGGGCCACCACAGATAAGGTAAGCTCCTTGATCTGCTCTCTGTCAAGAATAGAGGCATTGGCCACCATTACATTCCCCGTATAAGCATCAATGCTAAAGTACTTGTTATTCTCCCCAATCAGAGTGTAAGTAATTTCACCAAAGACACCCACATCTCCATCCTGGGCCTCCACTTTTCCGGCCACCGTTCCCCGGGGTGAGTTCTCCGTGACATTGAAGTAGTAATCGGATTGAGAGAACTTGGGATCATTATCGTTGAGGTTGATAATGTCCACCACCACATCAGCGGTGGAGGTCAAGGCGGGCACACCCGTATCACTGACGGTCGCCTGGAATTTGACCTCCTTTACCGCTTCGTAATCGAGTCGGGCAATGGTGTAGATCACTCCGGTGGTCTGGTTAATGGCAAAATAGTCGTTGGCACTAATGTTGTACTCCCCAATGCTGGAATCCTCATCGGTGGCCTGCAGAGTGGTCAGTACGGTGCCCACCGGCTGCTCCTCCACAATCTGCAATTTGATTTGCGGCTGCTCCACACTCCATGGTGCATTGAAACGCTGTTAAAATAACACGAAGATACAAAATTAGCTTTGAAAATATAGTCAAAATTATGTAGTAAAAAAATTCCTAATATTTCCTCTACCTTTTCTTTTTGGAAGAATGCTCAATGAGCTTTCTAATACCAAGCTAAAGCTGCTCTTCATCAATGTATTTGGCATATTGCACAGTGCCACTTATTTAAACGTATATCGCTTATATGCAGACTTGAAAAATGTTAAAATGGGCGTAGATGGCTCTGGTGAGGAGGTCTGGATCAGGGAGATCTTCACTTTCCTCATCAGCGGTCTTATAGTGGTCCGCTTTTGCCTATGTTTCGTGGGCTTGGCCTCGAACATTGTGGCCATGTAAGTGACTTATTTAAGGAATATCTTCTCTTTTACAATTCAATTTATTCCCTTTTTAGATACCCCATTTTAACCAATTCCCAAGCTGAGTTGCTCATGCCCACCATCATTGTGCAGGCCATTGATAATGTCATCCTAAATCTCTACGAGATTATTTTGGGCTACGGCAGCTTGTGCTATCTGTATCCTGAAAGTACGGCTGTCTTTGTATTTTTCCTTTTCAAGATGGGGGTGAAGATCGCCTGCAGTATCTCAGTTCTGTATGAAAAGCTAAATTCTCGTATGAAAACCCCTTTAAGTTTCTAACTTTCTTTTCAGGAATATTTATTCTGATCACCACAATCACTTGGCAAGTTTAGTTTCCTTCAAAGAGGAATCAAACAGCTTGGGACCAGACAGTGTGGATGAAGTGGAATTGGTCAATCAAAATTTTGATGCCAACTAGCTTTGATTTATAACATTAAACAAAATTCTCATAAAAATTATATCTACAGTTTAATATAAATTCATTACTCACCGGTGGAATCTTGTTGACATCAATGATCTGTATGATGAGCAAACCTCGACCCTAAAATATCAAAAAATATTATCATATTTGTAAGTTAATATATAATATGTAAACTACCCACCTGTTGTACATTGGGAGCTGTGCTGTCCGTGACCAGCACATTTATCCGCATCACGGCAAACAGATTGCGATCCAATTGCTTGTTCACAGAAACCTTTCCGTTCCGGGCAATCTTAAAGTACTCCTTGAACTGATCATAATGCGGCAGCTCCTTGCCTTCCTTATCGATAGCCGTGATATCATCGGTGCCGGCAAACTCCAGGGCATTGTGACTGGCCACATCGGGATCGAGGGCGATTAAGGTGTACACCAGTTGGCCGGGAGGAGCATCCGCTCGAACTTCAGCATGCTGGGTGGCCGGGACAAAGTAGGGATCCTTGTCGTTGCTGTTCTGGACATTTATGGTCAGCGTGGCGGTGCCCGTGAGACTGGGCGTTCCCAGATCGGAGGCCTGAACCTGCAACTGGTAAGTGTTCCGGCGATCAAAGTCCAGTTTACGGGAGACGAACACCTCGCCAGTGCGCTCGTCGATGCCAAAGTCATCGAAGCTGCCCTGTTGGATGCGGTAGCGCAGCTCGGCATTCTTGCCCGTATCCAAATCTGTGGCATGCACCCGCTCCACGCTCGTCCCGATCTCCGAGTTCTCCTCGACGACGGCACTGTAGCTCTGCTCCTCGAAACTGGGCACATGGTTGTTCACATCCCGCACCGTGATGTTCACCCCACAGTGGGCCGTGAACAGACCATCATTGGCCTCCACGGCGAAGATGAGCTGATCGCTGTTCAAGTTGGTCACATCCAGAGTGGCATTCGGCCGGATGATAATCTGACCGGTCTCGCGATCAATGTCAAAGATGCTCTCCACCTGCTCGGAGCCGCGGATTCGGTAGCTTATTCTGGACATGGTGTCCGCATCCCTGGCCCGGACAATCAGCGGGGAGTCGAAGACAACGGCACCCTCATCCACGCTCGCCCTGTACAGAGGACTCTCGCAAACGGGAGGCGAATCATTAGCATCCGTAACGGAAATCCGGAGGGAAACTACAGAGGCCGAACCACGTCCATTGTCATCGGTGGCCTGTAAGGAATAATTGAAAATTTTTAATTAGATTTAAGGCCTATCAATAAATATGAAATCAAAATATAACACTACAAATTATTTAAAAATTCAGCATAATGTTTATCAGATTAGTATAAAAATTAATGATTGAATGGCTGAAAATAATTTATGGACAAAATTATTATTTAAAGTCTTTCAACTGTCAATAAAACGCACAGTATTGTAGAGGATTATGCATAATAATTGTTTACGCTATTAATTTATTCAGCAAGTTATCATAATTGTTTGTTCAACAAAATGCCACAGCATTATGTAAATAGAATGGTTTATAAAAGCGCACTAAATTCAAGAGGTGTTGACTGTTTGCTCTGTTAGATAAAATAAAGCACAAAATAAATACCTTTAAATATATTTTTTAAAATAAATATAACAACGAGTTCTAACCAGTCTTAAGGTGTTGGGATGCATCAGAGCTGCCTGCCTGAATTTCAATCCTCTCTTGTTATTTATTTTGGCAAAGATCTGACTATACAAAACATATCCCTCATGATTCCCCCACCGAAACCATCGAAACCACTGGGTTACGCACATAAAAACCTTGCCACCCACTCGCATTTCGCACTCGCACACGAAGATTGAGATAGTCACTCACCTTGTATGACAAGAAGTACGTGGTCTCCGATTCGTAGTCCAGACACGTCTGCTGTGCCTTGTCGTCATTAGCAGTCGCTGCGGGAACTCCAGATGGAGCTGCGTGTGGAACTGGATCGTTGGATGCCTCTGGCTCCTCTGGCGCCTGGGTGATTAACGTGTACTGGACGGTGGGCTCGGTGCCAATCTCTCGAGGAGCCACCTCCATGGAAAGCATTTCCAGATGACCCTCATCGTTCTCATCATCCTCGTGCAGATCACGTCGCTCGCGTTGCTTTCCCTCCCCTTCGCCATGGCAATTGGCCAGGCTAATAACACCTGTCTGCTCGTTGACATGGAAGAGTTCGGCACCGGTTCCGGATAGGCTGTAGCGAATGCCGGCATCGCCATAGCTGCCGGAGTCCACATCCCTTGCCGTAATGGTGGCAATGTACTGACCCGGCAGCGCCGCTTCCGAAACTGAGGCCGAGTAGCTTTCCTGCTCGAAAACCGGCTTATTGTCGTTGGCATCCAGAACGCTGACCGTAATCGTTGCCGTGGAGGAGAGCTTTGGATTGGTGTCCGTCTCCTCGGCCACCACGAGTACGATGAACTTGCGCTGATTGGGATTCTCGTAGTCCAGGGTGCCATTGGCCACGCGAATATTCACCTGCGAGTAGCCGGTGACCAGTTTCGGCTCCACATCGAAAACCCCGGAAACGTCATCCAGGCGGAGGGCAAACTTTGAATTTATTCCCACATCGGCATCGCTGACGCTCATGTCCAAAGCAAGGGGAGTGCCTGGTGGAGTGTTCTCCAAGAGGGACACCGAATACTCCTTGTGATTGAACACAGGCGGTGAATCGTTTACATCCCGAATGGTCACTGTTGCCTTGGCGGTGGCACTCGTCAGGGGATCATCGCTGGGAACTCCGTTTACAAGCTCCCTTGCACGGATAACCAGGGAAATAATGCCCGTGGAATCCTCCAGAGCTTCGCGATCCAATGGTTTAGCAGTGCGCAGTTCACCCGAGTGAGCATCCAGCAGGAAGTAGTCATTGGGATCTATGAAGTAAAATATATTTTAATTTTCGTAAATATTTATTAATATTATTAATTAACTTACTTGTCCGCAGATCATAGACAATCTTCCTCGGTTCCCCTGTATCACCATCCCGGGCATGGACAGTTAGAACCAAGGTGTTAATGGGACTGTCCTCATCGATTACCGTGGATAGAGAGCCCTGGAAGACGGGCGGTTTATCCTGAACATCCTTTACCCTCGCCTCGAAGGTGGTCTGGGTTTTGTGCGGACCATCGGTGGCTTCGATTTTAAAGTGGTAGACCATCCGCTGGTTGTAATTAAGGGTATCATTGAGCACAACTGCTGCTTCTAGAATTGTGGCCTCTCGCTTAATCACATGCAGGCGGAACCTGGTTGGGGATTTAGATGGTTAGTAGTTTATAATCTTTTTTTTTAGGATTTTTTCAATTGCTACTCACTTGCTGCAGGCTTCGGGACTTTGCTGCTGTGGCAGGCATTTCAAATCCAGACTGTCGCCCGCTATATCCCTATCTTTAACAAGAATCTTATCAAAGATGGTTGTTCCCACCGCAGCATCCTCGTTTACATCGGCTTCATAAGGAGTCTAAAAAAGGATCAAAATAAAAATTAATAATTTTGTTTAGAGGTAATAATTTCATGTTCTTACATTTTGAAACTCTGGTGGATTGTCGTTCAGATCAAGAATGATAAAAGTAATGGGCACTTCGACCACATTATCCCGCTCAGACTCTCCCGAAGGATCTACGCGATCCCTTATCGAGACCAGGAACTTCAAGGTATCCTTCTCTTCGCGATCCAGTGGTTTTATAAGCGTAATATTTCCCGAGACTGGATCCACACTAAAGTGATCAGCTCCGATGGCCCCATAGGTCACATTACTGCCCTCCGGATCGTAGGCTTCCAGTCGGAAAACTACTGTACCCACGGTCACATTCTCGTACAGGATAATATTATTCAGGGTCTGCGTGAATACGGGTGGCAGATTTGTCTCTCCTGGTTGAGAAAAGGAACATACAATTTAAAAAAAGGAAACACCTTTTGATTACTTTGAAATAAACTCACCCTTAGTCAGGCTGAGGCCCAGGCAGAACACCAACAGCCCCAAAGGAAGCTTCATTTTAGGGCCTGAAAAGAGAAAACAAAATAAACGTAAAGTGTTTGTTTAATTTTGAGTTTCGGCAAAAAAAAAAAAAACGGGAACCAATAAGCTTAAACCAACAGATTTGCGAGACAAATCGGAGACGCAGAGAACAAAAAATCAAAGGAAGTCGAAGTTCGGAATTCCCTGATCAGAGGTGCAAATAATTTACAATTAAATGTAAGGTATAATTTTTTTACATTTTTATTTGGCCTTGCAATTTGATCAGGGACTTTATAAATGCCCTTTTTTCAGCTAAAAAGGTTTAAAAATATCACCTTAAATTTAAACACCCATGAACAGAGTATATTAAAATCCTGTTATCAAAACTTCGGTGTGTTGTACATGGTTATTCGATTTTTTTTTCGGCTCTGCCTGTTTTTGTTTTCTCGTTATTTGGTGGCATAAACAAACAATAAAGATAAATTAAATTTCATTTCGTGCTGAAAATTCAATTAGCTGACAATGCACACAGGGCAGTAAGAGCGTGACAACGATGATGCGGATGATGATGATGGTTGGGGCTTTGGTGGTGCTGCTGGGGCTACTGATGATGATGGCTATAACAACATAACGTTGTTGATGACAAGCAGCAACAGGAATAACAACAACAGCAACAACAGCAAAAAGAGGCAACAAGCAACATTGTGGCAAATTGTGCACTTTAACTGCGGGCTGGAGTAATTGAGGGTGGGGTGAGGGGTTGGTTTTTGTCCAGAAAGGGGCGGGGCTGGGTGCGAGGAAATCGCCGAAGGCGCCAACATTCCTGTTGTGTCCGTCCACTTGTCCGGCACGCACCACCTAACCAGCATTGTGAGCCCGTGGACCAGAGGCGCACATATCTGGCAACCAGCAGACGAACCGTCCGGGCGATGACCACACAAACGGGCGAAGGAACAGGAGTACACTCGCCAAAAAAATATGGATTTCTAATAACTATTTTGGTTACCTTATAAAATATAAAATCACCATGAGTTTTTTAGTCGAAATCATATATGGGCA